TACTCAAAGGGAGAGTATTATTCGGTTTTCAAAAACTCTTCCAATTCCAGAATAGTTTTGAACCCGCTCTGCCGTCACACTTGCATTCCGTTTTCACAAACTCTAAGTTGTATATGTTCCGCGCACGTAAAACCACACATTTCTTTACGGTATAAAGAGCAGACCCTATGGGGTTCATAAAATTTAGCATTGAGTTTCATCCATATTGTTAACTTTACAAACCACATCGGTAAATGCAGAGACATGACGACTTATGAACGGCCCTTTTACGGTATTTAAAAGTACCACACTTAGAAACTTTTTCAAAACCGCATTATGTCCCTCCTTTGAGTATCAAAATTGGATGAGGACGTAATTGTCTACCGAATAAGCAAAAAATAAATATTTTAACTCATGTTCTCCATGAAATATAATTGAATTTTTTAAGGGCATTGAAAATAAATGAGAAAAATGCAAGCTAAGTAAGCAGTCATCTTTTATAGAAGACAGTTTTTGCATGCAGCCGGAAAGAAGCTTGTTTGAAAGCCGGCGTCCCCAGGTAGCTGAATTATTATAAAATTACGCAGAGTGGTTATTAGTTCTACAATCCTAAATAATTAATCTTTTCGAGACGAAAACATGTATTAGAATTTCGGTTAACCTTTTATGAAACACACGGTACTTCTGTTGACAAAAGTATACAACAAAATTGCGGGGATCTTTCTTTAGGAGACATATCTGAATCAAGATATCGGTTTGTAACTAATTACCCTTCGATTGTTCTGCTGCCTTTAAATGGTAGAAAAGTCTCATTATTTAGCGGAAGTGGTGTGGTCGCTGTTTTTGTCAACCAGAACTGGCAGAGAAACTGTAAGCCCTTACTTTCTTAATTCGAAGACCCTAAATATGTTTTTGCTGTTTTATTCAAGCGCTGCTTACTAAGTGGTTAAAAATCCATCGCATTTATTCCCTCCCTCTGCCTGAGAAAAGGCTTTAGTTAGAGTTATTAAGATTTTTTCGTGAAGACATGTTTCATTGTCCTGTGGTCAGCTTGTTCTTCAATGTAGCGTTTTTAATCGTGCAAACTCACAACACTCTATTCTTTTGGTCCTTAACGGCATTGTTTCCCTCAGTACTCGTGTCAAAATCTTTTTGGTCATATTTTGACCAAACACTCCAGGTTTTTTTCATGTAACAGATGGAGCTTTACCGTATGGCTTGAGCGATATTACCCCACAAAAAACTTGTTTACTTCAAAGTCCTATATCTAGTATTGTCTCTACTTTTCTTAACCTATCTAATGTCAAACCATATTCTAGCTCCCACATAATATTTTAAAATAAAATTTCTGACACTGATAGCTCTCTTTAATCAGTTAAGGTTAGGTCTGACGTAAATTGAAGGACGTCGAAAGGAAGGTCTCTAAAAAGTCAGTCTATGCGGCAGCCTAAAGGGCGTTGATGTCCAAATAAAAGTGGCCCTTGCTAGCAACTTTCTTCTTTTTCCTCTTCGTCTTCCAATCCTTTGTCCAGAGATATTTGGGGTAATATAAAGCGCCTCACTCGTCCCGTTGCGCATAGACGCTCGATCTCGACCCCCGTATGTAATCCTACAGTGATTAGTAATAGATGCATAGAACGACTACCAACGAAGAGAAGGGAGACTAGGATATTCATTTCTGGCATAATGGTCGTCATCAACAGGCCAAAACTAAATAAGAGTTTTTGCCATCCCCGAGGCTCGAACCCGCGTTCCGTTGATTAGTAATTTAAGGCCCTAATTGCCGTGCTGTGGAGAGGGAGGTCTCCGATATCATTTAGGAGGGCCTACTTGTCTCGTTATGCTTAGGCTCTCGATTTAAAGCCCCGTAGACAGTCGGGGAGCAACTTCCGGTATTTGTAACCGACAGGGCAGTAAGCGCGCGATACGATGCTTAGAACGTAAACTTACAACTAGCGAAAGTGGATTAACTCCTCGGGGGTTGCAAAATCTCGGGCGTGGTTTTGGCGGCCAGGAACGGTAATTCCCGTCTCCCTTGTCTCTGACAATTTGTATTCTTTGCGTATATTTGTCCAATAAACATTTTGTCACTTACCCCAACGAGTCTAACCTCTCCACTCGCCAATACCGGATTTCTTCTCTATCGGCTGTGACCAAGAAAGGTTCTAAAGCTACTCGTGTTCCAACAGCGGTTTGGTAGTTTATTGTCTCAGCGCTTTTTTAAAGTCCTGCTCTACTCAGATAGCACCTGACTTTACACATCTTAATGAAATGTCTCAGCGTACTCTCAGAATCGCCCACAGCCTTGAAAAATGCAAGAATTTTGGTACTTAATCCTTATGACATATTAAAAATTTACCTATACTTATAAAGTTGACTAATTGATTTGCCCTCTACCATGAGTGTGCAAAGCCAGGCGTAGTATCTTGGATAATGTTGCTCTTGTGACTCATTCCGCTTTAAGAGAGCCATTTTTCCCTTAGCAAAACATCTGAATGCGCCCTCCTGGATGGATTGCTGCCCTAGCTTAGACGTTATTCTTACGTCTGCACTCAATTTATTCACTCAGGTAACCGGAAATCTGCCGTTCGTTCTAGTAACTGTAGAGTTCTCCAAGGTTTCATCTTATCTACCCACCTCGTTTCACGTTACACTGGTGACATGGGATCGTTCAACAACTGTCTACATGTTAAGCGGGTTGACGATATGCTTGTCGACCACGGTATTCAAAATAAAGCTCATTTTCAGTTCTTAAGGGATGGTTTGAATTATGTCTCTGTATGATGGTAGGGAAATGGCCTTATAATCAATGATCCGAAATCAATTCCATCTATGTGTTTTGACTGCGACCAGCGAAGTATCAGCGTTCTGGTGCCTGGGGGCTGTTCTGTCGTCAAAATTCTCATCTTCCCTCCATACTGACATTTTTTTTATTAAAATTCTTAAACTTTTTTATTACTTTCGACCTGGGAATCGCATTTTCACTACTATCAATAAGTTTACAGACTTACGACTGGTATAGAGCCTTTAAAAACCAAAAAAGACAAACGTTTTGGAGAAATCTGCACTGTGACTTCGTTTGTCGTTACCGGAAGTAATCACACCAAAACTGACATTTCCAGATCCTTTTAGAGTTTTAAGCACTACCACCCTGGCTGCAGACAACAGCGAGTATAATGTGCCACAAATGCGGTTTTCAAATATTATGTCCAGTTTCACCATCTTAATTCTTTCTTGAATAGCGGTTGAGTATTGCATCTAAGAACGTATTTTCTGACGTAAAACAGTCGATTTTCTTGTTGCACCAAATAGCAGCTGAGTGTAGCAACGTGCAAAATATTTTTTCCCAAAAAAAGCAGTTATTTACGCAAAGTTGATAATGCGGAGTAATACGACGCAGTTATCTGTTTCAGCGAACGACAAAAGTCGAGCGAGACGGAACATCTAGTAGTTTACGCACCCGGTGAACGTCGTTGCATTGGGTAAGGCGAAAAGTCCAAAGTGCGAAACCCGTGGGTCAGATGTCCGGATCGTTATTTTGAGTTGGTGTACTTTCGTTAGCCTAGTACTGCTGTGCGTTGCGGTGTGTGTTATGTTGGCGGCCTTGTCTGTTTGTTGCCGTGCGTACTTTTTTCGGCCCGATACTGGTGGCCCTTTTGGACTTTCGGCATGTCATCTACTTTTAACTTTCGCGGTGGATGTTTCAGGATTAAGGTTCAATGTTGTCGTTGGAAGTTTGGGTTAGGGTAAGGCCTAGGGTTAGGGAGGAGGGTTCGCGGTCAGAGTTAGTGGTTAGGGCTAGGGGTTAGGGAAACTATTTCTCAACCGCTGAAAGTACAACCGCACAGTTTCAATAGCTTTTGTTTTGCACACAATGGCTTGACCTCGTCGCCCGTGCGTTTCCCGGCCCCACTCGTAAAAAATCCCTATTACCACCGGTCCCCTGTTACAGGCGGCTGGGGTTAGGTTACATCAGTTGTGGCTACATAACCATATCTGACCGTTTCCTCGGCTTTCCACATTCTGATCTGAGAAGTCACTCACTTCTTCTAAAATAGCTTTACTAGTTAACTAGGTAGGACGCGGGAATAGAAACGCCCCCTCCTATACTGCATGGGGTCTTTCGCCGGATTCGATGGAGATAGGGTTTTGGGCTGGGACACAAATGAGGATAATGTTTCTGGAAGCAAGGCCAGGGAATTCCTATTCACATGTCTCTCCACCAGATCACAGAAAACCTGTCAGAATTAGCGGAACTAGTTTACATCATTAAAGTTCAGTTTTTCCTTGGTCTAGTGAATTAGTAGAGCCGTCTACCTTATTTCCCTATCTGCCACGGGCTGCCTAGGCAACTGTTCCGCTTCCCTTCTAATCAATTTTGCCGTTTGTTGCGAATGAACCAGAGGGCAGTAGTCACAAAGTCCGGTAGTCGGAGCTCAGTTTGTCGAAGTCGGCGGTAGGATTTCCCACTTCCTCAAAGAAAGATCGCCTAGTCACATGTGATGGAGCCATTCTGTGAAAAAGGAGACCCGATCGCTGGGACCAGAGCATTATCCACCTGATGTTTTGGATTCCTGCTCGAGTTCATCATCGGAGACAATAGCAGATACAGCTGGTCCGTACCTCCGTATCTCCTGTTACTTCTGATGATGGATTCGATCCGGAATCTGAAACATCCAGCGGTCGTGCCTCCTTTTTCACGACTGCTTCCTGGAACTTGCCTCTTCTCTTTTATACCAGTCACTCTATCTTCACCCCACTGAATGCCTACGGCTTGGGAATCAGCAAACAAATCAACGAGTCCACAAATGTATTACCAGCAAGGCAATGACAAAACATACCGAATGGAATTTGAAATGCACAAAGTAGCAACGAAGTGCTGAACTGGCCGTCCTATAGACGGCGAAAATGAGCAAAAAGAGAAACTTGAATGACAGCCTGGCGTAAGCTGGGATTACTTAAATTTACATACAAGGGGTCATTAAAAGCAAGGTGGATCGGTGCGGGGACTGTCGGCTGATCTACTGCGTCTCGTGGTGGGCCTTGAATTCTCGATGCAGTTGACAGAGTTGACAGGGCATGCAGAAGGTGGACGTAACGCAGTCCATAATGATTGATCCCTGTGACGAGGAAAGAAAAGACTTATAATATATTAAATCACAGGCTTTGAATTCTTAAGTCAGACAAATGAACCAATGCGGTTTCTGTTCTGTGACACCCTGCCGTCGTTTAGGAATGTTTATATTATGACATATTCGCAGAGTTTAGCAAGGAAATACTGGGGATTAGAGTCTAACCACATCTAAGATGATGATTATTTGTCCTCCTTTCCAGACCGCATGAACGTGAATTAATTATTGACAAAATTGTTGCCTTGATGTGAATTCGACATTTTTGAATGAAATTTCAAATGTAGTTATTTACTATGAACTTCTTTCCTAGGCTATGAGATAAGAACACCCCTTAAATGGGCATGTTACAGGTCGGCCCTAGATGACGAACAAAATGCGAATCTCTGATGAGGTTTCAGCTCGGGGAACTGAACATCGTTTTTGTCGACAAACACTTCTCACTTGCTGATTACCACTCACCATGTCATCGTCTGCAAGGGTTGTAGAACACCATGTCAGAGACAAAATGGGAATGGAGATTTTTAGCCTAAAATCAGGTGAAATTAGGTGGAAATCAATGTGGCAAACGGGGATGGAAAAAAACAGACAAATTGCTGTGATGCTTGTATGTAACTAGGTATTTACAGTAGGCCCACTGAGATCTGTCCGCACTCGGTGTCTCCTTTACCGAACCTGTTGATCAAGACAGTGAAATAAGGGTGCCTTACGGATTTGTGTGTTAACGACAGCCGGTCTTTTTGTTGCAGTAGCGTCATAAAATAATGTAGACAACTGACTCCTCGTTAGTTGGATTCCATTGTCGGATGCTGGAGTTTTGAGCGGCAGCTGAAACCCGGACTAAAACCCTGTATATATATACACTGCATATTTGGTAGTGGCATAAGGCCGAATTAACGCCTGACCTTCGTCAGCTCTGGACTGCGTCTCTGGCAATCACTAAACCCCGGATAAAAACATCTTGTTGATAGATGAAAGAGTGTCTGTTAATATACTCGGTTCCATTACTTGGACTTAATTGTGATCCCGTATTCCATCTGATGGAATTGCGTATAAGCAGAAAATCACCAAATACTAAATTTCAGGTACCCACCAGCTACTTCTGTCTAGGGGCACAAAGAAATTTTTGCTCTGTTCCCCAAACATGGAACTACTCAGTAAGTTACATTTATTCAACCAGATGGACCCGAAAGCACCCAAACTGTAGGTGACGCGCTAAAAGCAGTTGGGTATAAACATTGACGCCCTCTGAGGCGGCACTTAATTAAGACAGGCTTTTACCCCTTCACACCGACCGGAGCCCATTTTGTCCTGACAGAAATCTGCGCACCGCGTAACATGTCTGTTTTGGCAGTCACGGCCCACGCACAGAAACAAATTAATCCCCCCATTGCCGTTGCGTGCCATGCAAAACTAAAAATGACTCGCAAGTAAGCCGGCGCTAGCCAACAGCAGTTTTTAAATCGCCAGGGATGATAACCCGGTAGATTCTGATCGATTGTAGCGCCTCGATGTTGCATTTAGGGGCGCCGGTTTACACGTAGGGGACTTGCTCTCAGCGCGGACAATATATTCAACAGCAGGCTCCAACCCCACCCAAAATAGTCTAGCTAAGACTGTTGCCTTAACTCTCGGAGTAGTATTTTTTATAAGCGGACGGGAGAAAACATACCTTGATTCTGTTAGTTCCGCGGTAATTGGTCATCAACACGAGGACAGGGTGAGGAGTAACAAGCGGTGTCGCGCAGCATTCACCATGTTTATGATATTCATAGCACACCATGCAAGGCAGAAAGAATGCAGTCAGCACGCCTAGAAGCCGACAGAAAAGAAAATAAACAGTCAGACATCTTGGTTAACCTGGAGCGGAATTTAAGTCAACAAAACTGCGTTTTTAGGTTAGTATGATTTAGAAAGGAATGTAAACCAAACGGAAAGTAAGCACTACCTGTGGGCTGAGCGAACTCTGCTTTGTCAGGCAAGGTTAGGCTGATTAGTGTTGTAGGGGCGTACATTAAGTCCACGGGAAACGGGTTAATTGCAGTCAGTTTCACACCTGAGTGGCCTTTATCGATTAAGCTCGAATGCAAAACCGAAATAAACGTTCTGGTCTCTCATCGAGGCGACGGTCTGACCAAATTCCCAAGCATTCTCATGACCTAGGCGAAAGGGTGAGTTCCATAAAGCATTTTTGGACTAGATCACCGAATGGAGGGTTTCATTCGTCTGTCGTTTCGGACGAAGGCAACAAGCGACGCGGTAAAAAATGCAATAGTTACGAGACGCAGTTGCTGCGTATCACCACATCTTCTGAAATTGGGCCAGGCAGTTTGGTAAACTTGTTCGCATTGCTTCCGATCAGAAGCCCGTTTGCTCATTCTCTACAGGAACAGTTTTGAACCGTTTTTCCCCACGAACTCACAGTTTATGGTCTTTTCTTGGTCAGTCATCTGGAGGTACTTGCGGTTGTGCAGGGAGAAACTCGAATCGTCCGTCTGCCGAGGGCTTGTATGAACTACCCGTTCTCAGCAAGTCACTGTCGAGACGTTCGTCCAAGAGCAGATTTACACACACCGAAAGGCACAATTTTTCCCATCGTCAAACTAACCAGTGACTCAAAACTTGCCTGTACTGAGTACTTAGTCAGGCGAGGAACCTGTGAATGAACAGCGCTCCCAGTGACACTACTCGTGCACCAAGTCGTCGAGCGTTTGTCACACTTCTCTCGAGCACTTGTTATAATTCTGCGGTAATTTTCTTTCAAAATAAGTGGGGTGATCACAGAAATAACAATTATAGTAGCTATTCGGTGACTAATTAAGTATGTTGCCTTTGTGCTCGTTAGAATTATCCGTTGCTGTCTCTGACGATGGACTCACGAGACACTCCGAAACGTCATTTTGATAAACGTCTTGTTCCGACTAGGTGGTTTCTTTCTTTCAACCAGAGGAAACCCTCGGGTCATGATGACGACTTTTTGAGAAAAACATTCTGATTAAAATTATATTTCTTGATAGGATGTTTCTCGCAGCCTCCTTTGCAGTTATCGTCATTGCTTTATTTATTGCTTATTTGCATTCAGCTTCATGCAAGTGATCAAAAGTAAGAGTCTCAAACAGAGAACGAGTGCCGAATTTCATCCCATAAAATCGATGAACGGCGTCTCATCGATCCACTGATTATGCGCTTGTCCAAAATGCTAGATGGCAGCACCAAAAGGCTTAAATTTCAGGTCCCCTCGTCATAATCTTAGGAAGCAATATTTTTGTTGATAATTTCTGACAAAACGTTTGATAACATAAACACGCGAGATTCGCACGTGCTTTTGAAAATGAGTCACGATTTTTTCAACCCCATGCACTCATGGATGTTATTTTGCCGTTACTGTGGAGGCTGGCTACATGACCGATTACAACAAAACTCCAAGTGTGGCTTTTTTAGTGCCGCCTGATATGGTCGACCACTGACCGCGCCAAAACTCCCATGAAGTAAACGGGGGGTTAGGTACGAGAGATGCTGACAGCCCCACATTGCAGAAGACCCTGCCCTAAGTTTTGTGGTTTAAGTCAGGACTTTGGAACAGGTACCCAGTGGAATTCAGCGCGAGGCCATTTTTGATACGGTTGGATCCATATTTACGTGTTCGATTAAGTAAAGTAAACACCGATAATAATTTTTTTTATTTTTTGCCATGATGTTCTTCATAGAATCTAGGGGATGTTTCGAAAAAAATGATTTATTTCAAAATAAAAACACTCACTCCGATGCAGTGACCTTTCTGTACTCGTGGCCAGCCCTGCCCGGGGGGCGGCTTGGTGGGGTGTACGAAATGACTTGGTGAAGGGCATGTGCCGTCTCATGAGATTTTAACCCCAATTCTGAAATATGCTTTCGATTCGCAAAAATTACCTAAGTGGGGTGGCAATATTGCTTGTCCCTAGATGTTTTGGCCGATTTTAAATAACTCGTGTTGACCTAACTGTGAAAACTCCGGCTCCCCGGTGGGATTCAAACCCACGACAACAAGGGGAAGGCTTTAGTGCAGCCAACGCTTGAGCTAAGCGGCCCCACCGGAAGACGCGAGTTTAGTCACATTTGGGCCAAGTTACCCGTCCAGCCTACTGTAAAGTCTGGAATCTATCAAATCTGATACAGTAATTTGACTGCCAAAGCAGAATTTCCCAAGTAATTCACCTAGAATCCACCAGATGACTACTGGGCTCACGTAAATTTTAGATATTTTGGTAGAATTTTGAATAATTCATATTGACTCAACTGTGAAAGCCTTCTCCTTACTGCGTGGGTTCGAATCCCACCGAGGCGCCGGGTTTTTCACAGTTGGGTCAATATGTCTTATTATTGTTTATGAAAGGGACTATGCAAATCTATTCTTAAAGGAGTAAATAAGTCGAACTTACGCGTTCGAAAATTAAAACCGTTCAGATATATCGGGGAAGCAGAGTGTTTGTGTTCTAACAAAGGTACAGTAAAACAACATGCAGCCGGCGATCCTTGCAGCACGCATAGTATGGTGAGTACTTACACAGCACAAAAAGGTTTAACTACTCTTTTGAAATAAATAGGCAAGTTACGCCTACAGAATCGACGGAATACCCCATATGGCTACCAGGCTCACGTGATTCACAGATGTTTTGGCAGATTTTGAATAATTCATATTGACACAGTTTTTTTGTTGCAGTATATTTCTAAGATATTTCAACTCCAACAGGATGACGGTTTTGAATGAACTCCCTTTTGACCGCCTGGAAAAATAAACTCTGTAAAAATGATTCCCTATATGATATAAATGTTTTCTGTGGATTCTTGATACGTTTATAAATTTGAACACATGAAATATAAGCCATGCACAAAATATTCGTTCGGGTACTCGTTTGGTAGCAAACTGCGTCTGATTTTATTTTTTACCTGAAGAGGGAGCGCTTTTTGTCATTTCAATTTTCTTCATATTCCAATTTATTATTCACTCCGCCTACCGTTGTGTCTGCATACGGGATTTCCCAATTATATGTACATGCTCCATTAAACGCTGTAAGGGATATGTCATATAGGACTCATAAAACTTGCGATGGATGTGGAGCAGGTTATATACTCTATAAGTGACATTCATAAACCTACCGATGCAATGCTGCATGAAAGGATATTTCGTGGTCTTAAAAATTCCACGATTAAAAACGTTCTTAAAACCGGACGATATTCTCTGTTTAAGCAAAGAAATCTAGAGAAGACAGAATCTGCTACCGAATGAGTGCAAAAATATTTTTGTGCTTGTCCTCCAAGTTGCATATTTGAATTTAGAAGAGCATTAAAAATAACGGCAAAAATGCATTCCATAAAAGTTATTATTATTTTGACAAGTGTGGTTTTTGCGGGCGGCAATAAATTCCTTCCAAAGCCGGTATCCTTGCGCGACTGAAGTATCGCGGGATTATGTTACACGATAATTCCTATCATGACTCCACATAAGCAGTCTTTTCTAATTCAAGACGTATTTCAGAATTCCGGTAAACATTTCATCAGATAGCACATCCAAGCATAGCTTCAAAGCGTAGGAGTATTCCAAGCCTACTTAAACAATGTCTTCCATCTGTACAACGTTAGAAAATTTAAACAGATATCAGGTTTTTGCTGGCAAACATGACATTTTCCTTCGACAAATTGTTTTGCGAATAATTTAAAATTGTTGGTCTCATAAGGCTTTTATTCTGTTCGTCAAAAGGCTTACAGGTTAAGTATAGGGCATGCCGGTTATGTATATGAACGAGGATTAGATATAGGGATAATTCACCTTTCCATAGTCTACCAAAGAAGACGAAAGGGAAAGGATGATTTCGTGGACTTAATTATGTTTTTACTTACGTTTTTGAAAATAAGAGTTTTGTAAAGGTCAATAAGGATGCATTTTGGTTTATGAAATCGCTTTTCCTTCTTCATCTTTTTGGGGTACTGATTCACACGATGTATATACATATGTATAGACTGAGCTGTGTGACGAGATGGAAGAGGCACGTTCCGCAACCCGACGGGCGAACGAAAGTTCCACGCCCTTTTGGACCGTAGTCGGCATAAAAAGGCCCGCGGCTAAAATGTTGAACGCTGGACTTAATACAACCGACCAAACGATGCGAGTTGGACTCCAGGTTGAAAACGGAGGTTGCAAATGGCTGGTCGGCGACTGCTATTAAACCAAAAATTGCCATTGCAGTCTCTCTTTTCTTTGTTGTTGCTCTTCACTGCACGTGTATATATAATTAGTGACGGTATGCAAAAGTTGCACGGGAAAAAGCATTGTAGTTAAAAATGCAAACTTTAACATGACAGCTAGAGGGTTGTTAATGGCCCACTGTAAATCTTACTTAAAATATATCACCACAATTTGAATGAGCAAAAAAAGGAAAAAACGAAATTACAGTTTTTTGCATCCTTTGTGCAGTCAAACAGTCCGTCATCCCAGTCACGTAACGTTGGCTGTTGAGTGATAGGCGCATCAGGCATGACCGAAGAGAACTTTTTTGCCGACGCTACGAAATCGACGAACGCGTTCTGACCTCTGAAGCTCCGATCTGTCAATTTTGAACGCCAAGTGGACTGCATTCACCGACCAATAGTTGTCCTCTTCAAGACGTCTACCAATTAAATCTCCCCGGCTGACGGCCGACCTTGCACATCAAGTGATTAAAAGGACAGGTGGTTTCTTAGGTTGATATAAGGTTTCCGCAAAGAATCGGCTATGAATTTAGCATCACCAGATTAAGGAGCTGGCCGACATCTACCCCTAACATAAAGAAAGCAAACATCCCCCCCCACCTAAAGGATGAGGGAATACCATAAATACTTGTTGAAATATGAGAAAATATTCTTTACACGAAGGGCCTGCCTCTGACCAATTAGGAAATTGCAGTAAGTTATCTGTCAGCTATATTTCGAAGAATAGTTTTAAGTTAGACAGAACTGAAAGGCCCCAAACGATTACTTATGGAAACTAAATTACTCGCTGGTGAATACGTCTTGAATTAGCAAAATTCGCAAAGTCTTTCAACTAATCATCTGCAATGCGTGTACTGCAGGTCAAGATCGAGAAAAAATCCAAATGCCTAAATGAAACTTAATGCAGTCTACAGGCGTTTGAAATATAAATGGAGTGGACGACTCGAAATGTGAAATGTAGACAACCGGGCAGTATTCAGCAAGGACAGGCAAGAACGGTCGACCTCTCATAATCTGGTCAAATGATGTGTTCTCCAGACTTGTGGAAAAGAAAAATTTAATGTTTCCTTATTGTAATGGAGATGAACACACGATCTCTGGGACAGTACGTGTATTAGTCTGGGCTTTCGGTCTCGTACAGGAGGCCATCGTCAGAGACTGTGAGAATGCGGCGTCAAATGAGCAGTCTTTGTAGGCAAGCGACGAATGGGGGAGGAATAGGAGTGCAGGGGGTCGTGTTCGCGATAAGCTGAGTCCTCGTTGTCTCACGGCGGCGTGATGCGTGTACCCTTGGTTGGCAATTGGGGGCAGTGAGCGTGAAAGCAGGCGGGTATATCTGTTATTTGCACTTTCGCTTCCATCTGTGAATGCTTACTTATTTTTGACCCCCATGGCATACCTAGGGTGATCTGAGCTGCCTTTATTTTGCGTTGTAACACTGACATCCACGTACAGAGAGACGGTCGCATAGATGGAACTTTATATAATCCGTAATGAAAGCGCAATCCTAGCCACTAGAATGGACAGTTCCTGATATTCAGTTTGGCATCCTGTTCAATTGATAACGGGATGACTGTTGAGCATCTGCATGTAGGCCAAAATTACCGGCCTCCCTAATTCATTGTCAATGCTCGTATATGGTGCAATGAGAGCATGCTTGCCCGCATCGTAGGACTTAATTGTCGCAACTTTACCGCTCTTGTTGAGTATTTGTAGGATAACCGCGTTGCAATTTGGCTCACCGATGTTGACACTGGAAACGGCGAGTTAAATGGGCGCGCAAGTAGCACACCGATAGTTCGATCATGGCGTCCGACAATGTCCACTGTGTGCTCCACAAAAAGATGGAACAGGCATGGTGAAGTGCGCGTGAGTTAGTTTGTAGTGAGAGTAGACTTGCGCAGCTTCTACCGCACTCTCATCCGCCCTCATCTGTGCCCGGCGCCAAGGCAGAATCAAGAAGACTCGAGGTGGGGGAGGGCGCAGGTGACTGGCGCGACCGGAGCCGCGCATAGGCGTGCTAACACATCTATTTATTTACCACAGACACTTGAGCAGGATTTTAATCAACAACAACAATGAAAGCAGCGGCAGCAGAGCGACTATGATGACTGGGCAGACACGCTTACGATCTGCACATCCGAAGAGGGCGCAAGCAGGTGCCATAGAACTGCTAGCGCAACCCAGTCTGCGAAAGTCATGGTTTCCTGATCCGGGCATAACAGACGCTTACAGCCCTTTAAGCGACGCGCCATTAACTAACGCAAGTTATGGAACTGCAAAAATCACCGTCTAAGATGCTAGATACGAAGAGCTACTGTGAATAAGGGGCTCGGCAGTTTCGCAAAAAGTGCGGTGACATAGTAGCCGAATTATATGCATGCTGCCTTCCTTGTGAGCTAATCATCCTCATCATAGTCTGCTCCCGATGATGGTCTCGAGGGAAAATCCGAAGCATCAGGCAAGCAAAATCCATGTTCCAGCGGTCTGATCTCCATCTTTTTAGCTTCCCCTGGGACTCAGAGCTTATCTACGTCATTCATATGCAGTGACGTCCGTCATACCGCCCATACAAACTAACGATCAAGGCCTAATATGTCGCCAGTTGGTGGTTAACTCTAATCACCTGGGTCCTGATGATCAGACGGCATTGCATTTTCCTTAATGTGACCCCTGCGGCAACTCACTTTGAAACGAGAGCCGATAGTCCTCTTCCATGTGTGCGCTTGAAGGTCAGCACGCGTTGATTTGTCAGCTTGCGAGTTCGGCACACCTTTACAAAGAAAAGAAACTCATTCGCATCCGGCGCCATACCCTCATTTTTATGCAGTGTTCTTCAGCTTTGTCCGACAGTAAGGACTTACGAGGACTTATTAATTTTGAACAACGTGTTTACACAAAATTTATCTTCAGAATGACCTAATTTCATGCATATCATTCATAATTAAATATGCTAATATTACTGTGCACACTAAGGAAAAGAATTAAAGACTCTTTTAAAAGAAGGCCGCACTGAGTGAATCACGATGAATGCGCAACTTTGTGGCCTCAGTCGCCTATAGTACTTATCAGTGGCCGAGGTGCGCCCTACTTTACGCCAACAGTAGCCTCTGTTGGAATTTCTGTCCCCCCCCCGTTCCGTCTTCAGCTGTTGCCGGGACCGAAACTGACCAGTCTCCACTTTCCAGTCGGAAAGCACACTGCTCGATAACCGGAGACAGATGGTGCCCTTGTCTCGCCTGCCGACCAAGTCCTTCTCTTGGACTTGTCGACTGCACCGAAGTTTGGCATCTTTATTCCAAACCAGATTTCTGGTGGAGAAATAGCATCAAGCACTGCACAGGAAGAGCTTAAGGCCTAATTTGTCAGTTCCGGCCAAATGAAGGACCTAAAAATAATTACTGACAGACGTCAGATATGACTTGCTTGATTCCCGCTTCACCGGCTTGCATTAGATTAGCAAGCGCAGCGGCCTTCGGCCTCTATATACAGCGAGTGACCAATCTGAGGAAATGGTTGCTAAAATTCTTAAATGCATTTCAAATTAGGAAGAATTAATAAGGTGGGGTTGTAATATTGATTATCTTGAGGCGTATTCCCATTGTTTTTCGTACTCGGCAGAATGGCGGCTTTAAAATATACGTATTTTCAATTTCCTGTAGAAGTCTCGCTCGGCGAAAAATAATTACTTAATTAGCATGCATTTTTTCCCATTGATTTCGATGGCCTTAAAAATTTTAGATATATTTTACAAGAAACGTTAACAAAAATATGCTTTCTTTCAGTCGTTTGATAGGAAACCACCTCATCAATATTTTATAATCGAAGAAGCATTGTAATTAGTTTTTACAAAATTTTTTATTTCTGAATAATTTGCAGCCTGAGTAGCCATTGCATTAACGCCCAGTGATTGCAGCCTACAAGTTTCATGCGTTCAGCGTAAAGAAAATCACATATTTTTCTGTGCCTTTAAAAAGATTTCATATAAAGTACATAAAAATATTTCAATAGATTCGGAAAATGTCCTGCATTTCATGGGGACCAGAGGTAAATGGACAGGCATGATGATGTATGAATGTATACCGCGCGGTCTAAAAGTCTCATGATTAGAAACTATTTAAAAACCTGATTATAATGTTTTTTCAAGTATAAAATATGAAGATGAGGTGGTTTCCTATCAAAAGACTGAAAGAAAGCATATTTTTGTAAACGTTTCTTATAAAATAAATTTGAATTTGCAAGGTTATCGAAAATCGATAGTAAAAATGCATGATACTTAAGTAATCATTTTTTGCCGAGCAAGACTTCTA